ATCCCTATTCGGCAGAAGCCCTCAAAAATCCGTCAAGGATTTACTCCACATAAATTTATACAGTACTCTCCGAATGTGACACAGATTTTTCTCGCTCTTAGTGTCAAAAGCAATCAATCATAAGTTAGTAGTGCCCTTTTTCTGTAAACCAGAAGTGTTAGAAGTTTCTCACATAGTTCTCTGGGTAGCCTTTGAGACATGGTTGCCACATCTCCACATCTCTTAATTCAGGATCTTCGTAATAGCGATTCTTGTTTACTAGTAAGTAGTAGTAAATAGTGGTAAGTAGTAGGAACTTTGATTTTTTTTTGTCATTTATACTGATTTTTTATGTCATTTGTTTTTCTCTCTTTCTCTTTAATGAATCGTTTTTTCCTTTGGGTAGTCTTTTGAACCTGTGGTGTTTAAGACATTTTATATATTACAGGTAAGACCTCTCATATTTGTATCTAGCAATCTACGTTCTATATACTCTCTTATTTAGGACATTCTTCATGTTTGTCCTATTGATTGTGTAGATACTAATTTTATCTACATAAGTTGGTCTTCGAGTCGGATTTTCAGGCTCTTCATCTACCTGTAATCTCTTTCTTAGCACGTTTTCTTTCAAAACTTCACAACAGATATTATCTCATATTATTGTTTTCTCAGTATATATGGTTATCTGTATAACCAGTAGTAGCAGTGAATGAATATGCATGTTTACAAAAGAGTGAGAAATGGAACAAATCGCATTAAAGAGCTCAAAAATATACTGGCAAATTTCTCCGTGGAAATAAAACACAATGAGATCACAGGAAGATCTGGAACATAATGCGTAAGGGGAAGAAACCAGTCAAACAGAAATAGTGATAAACGCTATAAATATCAAGAAACATGGTCAAAATACTTTAAAAATCTGTTTGATAATAAAGTAAATAGTGAAATAGTAGAATTCGAGAACTTGATTTTTTGTCGTTTATAAGAAATATAAAACATATTAAAAGAAGTATAAACAACCATAAAGAAATTGAAGAACCAAAAATCGCCAATCTAGCAAATACAATAATTGCCAAGGTAGGAATATTAAAAGAACAGCAAGGTTTCCGACAAAATAAATCCACGATAAATGCAATATTCACACTACGCCAACTGATAAAGAAATCCGTAGAGTTTAATAAGCCAATGTACAATATTATGTTCACGATTAAACCAAAACGCAGACCCAGATCAGATGAAGATATACGGTAGACATTCAATTCAAGTAGACAGAAACACAATCACCTATATTTTTGCGCATTTAGAGTTTAATGTTGAAACTGTAAAAGAAGCAATCGTCACTCTGTGCACAAAATACTTCAAGATACTATCATCTCATCCAAATTTACTCGCCAATGATCTCTTGACCTCACCAATGCTTTGAAGACTTCTTGAATTCTCTAGATCTCTCCACCACTAAAAACTTGATAAAAGTTACTTATTTGTATAAAAGTCATAAATTTGATAGTGTAAACTAAATATAGGTAAAGAGTGCTCACCACTAGGTGTAGTCATTTTTTCTATCTCTTTTATACATATTGCAATAAAGGAAGTTAAAAAAACTCATTAAAGTCGAAAAACAGTTATAGCATTTTTTCCGAGTCATTTAAATCATATAGGACTTGATAATACGAGTAAAACAGTTCTATATACTGCGACATAACTTTCACACTCAGACAAAAACACTGACCATAGGTACGTTTAAATAATATAAAAATGGCATCTCAATCTCTATTACAACCACTATTATAACTACAAGGCAGAAGATACATTTTATTGAAGAAATAAGACATTATACAATCAAAGAGACACACTGTCTCCAAAATCATCAAATTAGCTTAAAAAATTATATAAATTTTGATTGCTAATAAAATGGATTCTAATATATTTAGAATTTGGAGAATTTTATAGTAGGAGGCAGATATAGATAAAGTATTTATATACTAGTTCGGAAGAAAACGAAGTTTATCTGGTCACGGAAAATAACCAAGAAATAAAAGATTGGTAAGACTATAAGCAACTGGAAATGATATTTAATCAAACCGGAACTGATAACTAGAAAATTATCTCCAGAATTATACAAGCAAAAAGAAGAAAATTAAACATCTATGACGATATGATCAAGAGCAGTGCGATATGGTGCAGAAACTTGAATACTAAGAGAAATATAAAAAAAAGGTCGAAGTAGTGGAAACTGCTGCAATTATTGCTGAAATCATTACGGATATCCAAATTATATAAAATGTTAAATGGATTGGTATGAACACTTAAATCGAAAGAATGATTAGATGCTTTCAAAACATTTTCTGTAATGACAACCTCCTGAATATAGAAAGCAAGGAAGACCGAAAACTAGTTGGACATCCAGCATATCCACAAAGCGATCAGCGCAAGAAACCTAAGGGATGATCTGTGCCAGAATAGTAATCGGACATATATAAACAAAAAAATGATACACAAAGTCAAAACGATATTCTTGATCCTTATTTTTTCTACAACAATATAAAGAGTATTTATTATTAGACCCCGTATATCGTTGTATAGATAGATTATATAATAACATACATCTTAACTTCGTACACAGATCACTTGTGCAAATCTTGCAAAAAATATTGTTATGATAAAATAAACAGTTTTCATTTTAATTTCAAATAACAATATTTCCTTAGCTTTAGATAATTTTTATAAATATTGTTAGACTATAACGACAGATTTTCACATGAAACCCACACCGATACGTTTGAAACTTTTAATCCAATTTAACGTTGGTAATTGATATAATTATGGCTTACAGAGGGCGTTCCAAAAACGAAAATCACATTCAACAAAATATAAATTTAAGTCCCTAATCCGCTTACAGGTTGTTAAGACAGACACATCTGGTTAGATATTTTATAATTGAATACCCAGATTTGGTGACACTGATACTTATCACATATCTGGTTTGGGGTCCCTTCAATTCTCTTTATGAATGTATAAAAACCACTAAGTGATAGTGATACATGTAAATCTTACGTTATGCCTCACTAGAAGACATGTTAATATGGATTAAATCAACATTAATCGTATATAAATTATAAGTACCCATGTACCAAATTAATTATTTCTTCGAGGTTCGAGTAAACCCAATATAAAGTAGGGTAGAAGTTATTATGTAATGTAATGTTTGATATTGATATTTGATCTATTTATCAAGAAATGGTCTATTAACAGACTTTAAACTAATACTCTTTTCCTGGGTCAGTTACTGCTAGTGATACAAGAAAAAAATGAATGCATCAAAGTGACGCTCTATCAGCGTAATTATTTATGACAACATACACAGGCAACAATGTTTGTACAACCACAGCTTCGAGTAACATGTGTGTTCCATTGACATCCATTGTACCTATCTGCCTCAAGCTATAACCCCTCCCAATCGCAGGATGTAACGAATATAGAGACTTTCTACTGAAAGTTACTTTGGATCCCTAGGTAATGGGCATCCTCTGTTCTACTTAGGTGGTTAAGGCTTATCCTCGAAAATTCTAACGGTAAAATTCAGAGGGATATCTATTTCAAAAATATCTTTCTTTATGAAAACAAAATCCATTTACGAAGAATATTCTAAACGTCATCTTGTACTAGAGGTTAGCTTTATACCTACCTACTTACAACACCCTGTGGTGAAAAGTCTTGGGTCTATCTATACAATAAAGCGAGCGGGTCTTCTATTCAGTGCGGTTTTGGGGTAATTAGAATAATACGAGTATACCAGAGTAATATTATTTATTGAATGATTAATTCACAACTTAGCAAAGGTACATACAGGTAACAAATAATTGTCCTGTAAATAATAAGAATCAAATTGAAGACAAACTTTTATAAAATTTTATTACAAAATAATGTATAATAAGATATTTTGAGGTCATAGTATTCGTTTTTTATGTCTTTTATATCTATTTTCTTTTTTTTTGTTACTATTTTTACTGGCAAATGATAGCCTACAACATTACTAGGGAGTTAGTCTAATATAATAGTCCTACTAAAGTCAAGGAACCCAGCAGATCAACCGCAAAGCTACAGACCAATAGCACTCCTTAGCTGCACATACAAACTACTTGGACGGCTTGGTCATCAACCAATTAGTGGTATTAGTACTGAAAATTTCTGTATATATCTGGCCGTACCTGCTGTGACCAAGTGCTGGCATTAACATTTTACATAGAGACTGATTTTCAACAGAAACTGAAAAGAAGGGCTGTATTCCTGGGCCTAACATCAGCCTATGTAACTCTCTGCAAAAAATGCAGCCCCTAAGACTAATTACTTGCCAGACAATGACAACCTTAATACAAAATCTACTAAATTATAGAAATCTCCAAGTAACTCCCAACGGAGAGATGAACAAAAGTTATTAATATCGGACTTCCACAAGGATTAGTACTGGTTCCTCTCCAGTTCAACCTTTAGATAACCGATCTGCCAGACGCAGAGTCAAAAAAATTTTACTATGCGGTGGACATCGCGCTGTCCACCAGAGACAAACATTTCTCCAATGCAGAAGAAGTCCTTAATGACGACCTTGGAATACGATCCAAGAAATGGAGGATCCCAACAAAACTGAATCGGCGACTTTCCATCTTAACAACAAAACGGCAAATGAAAATATAAACACACAACTCGGAAATACCAAACTTATCAGATATGTATACAAGACTGTATAGAAGGGAACAAAGTAAATGGTGAAACTATAAATAACATTCGTTATGCTGGTATTATCGCTGAAAATGAAAAAGACCTACGGCCACGACTAAACACAATTTGCGAAACTGGGTTGATTTAACAATAAATATAAAGAACAGAAAAACCATGATTATCAGTAAGAGGAGTAAAGTTCTAACATACGTTGTTCAGCCAGTCTTAGGGATTGTTTGTTTTTCCCACGTCTCTTTATATATTTTCCATAGCAAGTTTATTCCTTCTTCTCCCATTTATTTTACCATTTCTGGTTTAATTTTATCATCTGCAGCTGCCTTACCTATTTTTATCTTTGATAATCCTACTATTACTTCTCCTCTAGTTTTTTCTCTAGCTCTATGTTTTTCGTCTTCATTTATTACATTGTCTTTCTTTATTACTTCGGTATAAATTTTTTCTAATATTCTTTCCATACCCTAGCTATTTGTTCTGGGTTTATTTGGATTTGCTTTCTCTTACTGCGTTTATTTCCTTTCGTTTTCCTTCTTTCATGTGTCATATTGTCGTTTATATTATTATTTGTAGTTTCTATTATTTGTTACATATATTTCTTGTAGTTCTTCCCCAAATTACCAATCGTCTCTGCCTATAGTATTTTTTTATCTTCTAATCCCGTTTCGATGAATTTTTTCCATGGCATTTTCTTTTTTTTATTTCTGCCTTCAGTTCTTTATTCCACCATCTTCTTGTCTTTTTCAACTGTTTATTACATTTTTTGATTCTACACACTTCAGTTACTGTTTTCTTTAATACTTCACTGTAAGTATTCCATCTTTGTTCCATTGTCCATGTTTCTTTTTGGCCCTTTATTTGTCTTAATATTTTGTTAGTTTCCTTCTTGTAAAATTCTCGCATAATTTTTGTTTCGGGGTTGTTTGTCATTAGATTATTGTACTCTTTTCTTTCCACCTCCTCCATTTTTTTATCCTCCAGTTTTGCAGTGACCATCCTGTATTGTGTGGACAGTTCCGGTTCCTTTTCCGTTAAGATGTTTTGTATGTTTTGTTCTAGGTTTCTCGTATAGACTATTATAGTCAATTAACCTTTTCGAATTTCTCTCTTCAGTCATAAATGTATATTTGTCTTCAATGGTTTGTTCACTGAATGTGTTTCCTATTATCAGCTCATTCGTTAAGCCGAATTCGAGCATTTTAATTCCATTTCTATTTAATATTTCTTTCCTACATTGTGAAATACATCCTAATCCGCGATTAACGTCCTTACCTACTCCTAAGATTATTATTTTTCTCGTATCTCTTTTAGAATTCTACAACAAACTCCAAAATACATTAGACAAATTACTATTGTTCCTTCTTTATTATTTTCTGTTCTTACTTTCGGTCCGTATATTTGTATTAAATCTCATTTCAATAATCTTTTATAAGTATTGCATCGAAAAACATTTTATCTAATAGTTGATATTATTTTTGACTGCTAGTCCAATGTTCAAATAGTTCGAACCTAATTTTATAATAAGTTTATGCAATCACCCATAACCAATTCTATTTACATTTCTACTCAAAATCGAATTTCAAATCAAAAATGTAAAATTTTTATATCTATCTTCGAAAACTATTATTTTAATTAGGTTGAAATATGTCAATGTTTTAGAACACGTAGGTTTCACCTCTCGAACATAAAACAAGAATGAAATCAAATATATCTTGTCTAACCCTAACAATAAAAACAAACACCATACAAAGTGTGAGACCTTTATGACCGTAACAGTGTAACATTAACAATGAAGCCTCATTATTGGAACTCGAAATCTGTGAAAACAACTCATAAAACATGACAAATTGATCATTTAGGGAAGCGCCAACCAGCTAATCATTACAAATAGTTCGTGGGCCAACTTAATCATCAGTAAAGGGTGTATATGCTAGTAAAATATGTAAAAAAAGGTTTAAGGATAACGAAACAAGCAAAAGACGTGGATTATAAAACCTGACAACTTGAAATATACAGCAATTAAACAAAAAACATTATAAACAAATTAAAAGTCTTAGGCTTTGGCTGTTTCATCTTCACCAGGATATTATAATCTTTTTCGAGGTCTTTCTACATCTCTTTTGTTATTTGGATTTTAATTGAGTATTTTTTGGGCAATCTTTCGTTTTCTATACTGTGAATATTTTGTCTCCATTTTTCGTTATAGTCAACTATTGTGTCGTTTAACATTTTTTTTCTAACCTTCGGTGCTTCTTTTTTTGTAATACCTATTGATGTATGTTTATACTATATGTCTTTAAAAAATGTTAATTCTGCTTTTTTTTGTATAAATATACGACGTCAAATAAAAACACTAACTTTTGGTAATCGTTTTATTGCTAATTTACAAAACTATAAAAAAAATTAAATTAACAACAAAAATTATATTTTTGTATAAAGAATATGTGAAACAATTTACTTATAAACTCAAAACTAAATATTAACCCCCTGCGCAAAAACTATAATAACTTAAAATACGTTAATTATTTAGGTATGATTTCCTGGACATTCTGCGCAAGTTGCTGTCATATGCTCCATGCAGAGCCAACATTTGCAAAATTTGCAAAAATAACGAGTTTTTCGTTTTTTGCAATACTTACAGTGACCTCTTTTATTTGGTGGTGGATCTAGTTGTTGTTGGATTAGCCGACCAGAATATTTACCTATTGCATTACGGATGTATGAATGTAATCCTGATGTTGTTGCTCGAGAAGTCATATGATCCTTGACCAACTCTAATCCCAAAGCTTTTACAAATAATCTTCTGTTTTTGCTAATATCCATATCTGGATTATTTTCTCTAGTAATAATGAACGCATTAAGGCTAGCTACATTGAGAAATCCATAAAAATAACTAATGGCCAGCGCTTAGTATTTCTAGCAACATTGTATGATCAGCCATATCTACACCACATTTTGTATCATTGTAAAATAAAATAACTTCGGGTTTAGAGCATTCTTTATCAACATTATCAGTGTCATGTAAAGATGATATAATTAAAATGTTTTTTCCTTTTTTTGGTACAAACGAACTACCGCAAGTCCTTCTCCAAAACCAAATATAGAGGAGTTAACAGGACGACCTTTTATATTTAAAATAATTGTAGGAAGTTCTCTTTTATTACTTTTTATAGTACCTACAACAGTAAGTCGATGATCTGCTAAAAGCTTCTGGACAACTGAATAACTAGTAAACCATTGGTCCATGGTAATATTTCTTCCTTACCCAGATAAATGTTGACACATTCTTAGAGTAACCGCTTCAGTGGAATTATCAACTTTGTAGGGACCATCAGGTTGTTGTCCTGCATAAATTTCCATGTGACTTGTGTAATATGTTCGTGAATCTGTGGTTGCAAATACTTATTTTTATTATGCCATATTTTTTCAATTATTGAAAATATACATTCTGAAATTGCATTTTCCCCAAAAATGAAATAGCATTTCGTATAGTGTTACGTATTCTCCTACACTATAGCAATTTTGAATTTCGAACAAACAGTTCAAATATCTCTCTTATCGGAGCTAACTTGTCCACTTCTCGTCTTTCTGCTCTAGTTCGTTTATCGTCAAAACGTAAAACTCTTAGAAGGAACCTGAATCGTCGTTGTGACATAGTTGCTACAAATAATTCACATCCGATGCCATCTTGTTGCCAAAAGTCTTTCATATTTTTTCTTGCACCATGATCTAAGCCAGCTAAATACAATAAACCTAAGATAGCTTTTATTTCCGTAATTGTTGTTAGCTGGGTATCGTTTTTATTTTTATATTTGACAGACACTTCTCTAATTTATAAAACTCACACTATATTCAATAATTCCAATTAGCAATATGCTCCAAGATTCAATTGGGTTTATTGAATTTCTAGCTTCTCTAATGTGCTGGTACGTGGGAGACAATATTTGCACTACGAGTACGAACATTTTTAGGACCTGTCAGTTTTTTTCATTTTGTTCCATATTTCTCAAAATAGTATAAACGCCTATCAATATTATTAATTTCGCGATAATCGTCGACACCATCTTTATTTTCTTCTACAATCTCTTGCTCAGTATCAGTATCGTGATCACTAATTTCTTTATCGCCAATATCACTAATCGAACTTGCAACTTTCTCACAATTCTGTGGAATCTTGATAGGATGAAATACGTATAAGGCATGTATTTCATCCTATCAATAATACAGAGGCATTATATTTGAAATCAAATCTTAATTACCTTTTCTTTTATTTCGATTTACTCGTTATTAGTACAAGAAACCAGTTTACCAAGGAATTTTGCTTAGATGAGGAGATATGTTGTGGAATGCAGCTTTTAGATCCCCAGGTCTTTCTTACATCTTTTTATCTTCTGTTTTACCTTGCAATTTATAGAAGGCACAGATTAAAGCAAAAATCTGAATTTTGGTTTTCTCGACCAAGAAATCTTTGCATTTCTACTTTGGTCTTTTATTCTCAGATGTCGCTATAGCGTCCATATGGAAGCCATTTTATTATTGCTTCTTTTAACGGAAAATATTTGATTTCACTTTTAGCGCTTCTGTGCCAGTCGCTCTGATGAATCCTGGTTGGATGAAATACGTATAAGTGAATATACAGAGGGACTATACATGGAATATACTGTCTTTTCTTTCAAGTACTCATAATTCTTAAGTTGTTTTCTTGCGCAAAGTCTACCAACAACTTCCCATTCTTTGTTTTTTAAATCTTATTACAATTTTAATATCATATTTTGAAATTTGATTATATATAAGTTCAATCTTACTATAGAATTTCTGTTTTACATTCTGGTCTTTATTCTCTGAAGGGCATGCACATTTATTAAACTTAAAAGTTTTACCTTTTAGTCTCAGCCTACAAATTCGTTCAGATATTGGCTCGAACTATGGCTATCACACTTTGTAACCGATCACTAATTATAAAACCCATTCCCAACATTCGCTTGTGTTTTTAGTCAATAATATTTCTTGAAAAAGGCAAAAATTTAAATGTCATAGCATCATAGACAACCTATATATAGAATTTTTCATATAAAAATGATTGCACGTCATTCAAGATTTACGACGTCAGAACCCCACAGCGTTGCCAAAACATCAGTAAATGAGTAATTTTTAAAATGTCAACTATTTGTCAAACTATTATATTAACAGTAAATACACTTAGTTTTAAGACTACTGCAACACACTAAAATACATAAGAAAATATTTTAATACAAAATTATATATTCTAAATTTTAAACTTACCTCTTTTAGAGCATTAATAGTAAAAACGTCCCGCCATTATTTCTTGTTTAAAATAATCTATCTTATATGAAAGCTTATCAGCTTTCTACAGACTATTTAGTTGTTTTGGCATAGCACAATCACAATACACAACAATAATTAGTTTTTAAAGCTATTAATCTAAATTTAATATGTATTT